GCACCGCCAGATGACCCTGACCCAGGACCAGTATATGTGCAGCACAATCAACAAGCCATTCAGGCCCGTCAACGTGTAATTGCGACAATATAAATGGTACTCAGACACAAAGTTCATTTTTTGACCAATTCTTTTAATGAATGGCTTATTTCTGTGAGTGCGTCAGTGACATTTTTAAGGTGACTGTTCATTTCTTCAATGGCCCTAACAATTTGTTGTTGTGACTCCAGAACAGCATGCGTCAAGACACGGCCAGATGGACGGGCTTCAGCACTGGGGGGAACATTAGAGACACGGGAGACGCTGGACTGAATGGGCTCTGGCTGCTCAGGTGGTGCGGACTCTGAGTGCGTGCCAGTGGACGTTCCTGCGGTTCCTAAGTCCAATTAAACACAGGCACATCTTAACAGTAATTTGAGTCTGTTCCTTATTAATGGGTACACGCATTTGCAATAAAAGCAGTGGATACGTGAAATCTCTGGTGTACCTTTTGCTATATTGCATGCACTTAAAAATTAAACAGTGGCTGGCTATGTATATCAAAGTTAAGGAAATAAATCTGAGTCACCTTGCTGGCAGTCCTGTAGTATATCCGAGTCTCCTACATCAGCGGATACGATTCCAGAGATTAACGTGTCTCCTACAATAGAGGCAACTCTCTGATCAAAGGGTGCAAGTTCATCGGTCCCTGTACCACCGCCTGTTCTGCCCACACTTTGTCGGTGCGCAGCAGTTCTCCGCTTAACTTCCACCTTTATGTCTGACCATTTCTTCTTCAGTTCATTTACGGTGCGACTCTCAGATCCCACCGCGTTGACGGCATCAGACAAACTCGCCCACTCTTTTTTCTTTCTTTTGTTATTAATTCCAGAGGACAGATTTCCAAATAAAATATTTTTTCTTGTTTCTACCTCTGATAGTAGCACCTCTAATTCGTTTTCAGTGAAATTTCGTTTCTTGCTTGCTTTAGCCATGTTCTTGCAGGTTTCTTTTGCCAAATTGGACTAATTACCATATTTAAATTGATTTAATTGAGGGAGGAGACAGGGTGTGGTGTGGTGCTCATGCATGTGCGCTCAATTTCGCGTTGATTGGGATGTACAAAGAGAATGTATGCGGAATGCTGCGTACGCAGAGATTCATACATCTGATTTTTTTGGTGCGTACGCACATTTATGGCTTTGTCCGTACCCAATGTTTTAGTATGAATTCAACGCAAGTCTTTGTACATGAGGCCCCAGGTCCTGCCGGGTAGTTCTGGGCTGATCCCTCACCTTCCTCATGATTATTGATGCCCCACGAGGTGAGATCTTGCATGGAGCCCCAGACCAAGGGTGATTGACCGTCATCTTGAACTTCTTCCATTTTCTAATAATTGTGCCAACAGTTGTTGCCTTCTCACCAAGCTGCTTGCCTATTGTCCTGTAGCCCATCCCAGCCTTGTGCAGGTCTACAATTGTATCCCTGATGTCCTTACACAGCTCTCTGGTCTTGGCCATTGTGGAGAGGTTGGAGTCTGTTTGATTGAGTGTGTGGACAGGTGTCTTTTATACAGGTAACGAGTTCAAACAGGTGCAGTTAATACAGGTAATTAGTGGAGAACAGGAGGGCTTCTTAAAGAAAAACTAACAGGTCTGTGAGAGCCGGAATTCTTACTGGTTGGTAGGTGATCAAATACTTATGTCACGCAATAAAATGCAAATTAGTTACTTAAAAATCATACAATGTGATTTTCTGGATTTTTGTTTTAGATTCCGTCTCTCGCAGTTGAAGTGTACCTATGATAAAAATTACAGACCTCTACATGCTTTGTAACTAGGAAAACCTGCAAAATCGGCAGTGTATCAAATACTTGTTCTCCCCACTGTGTGTGTGTGTGTGTGTGTATACAGGTAAAAGTCAGTAAATTAGAATATTTTGAAAAACTTGATTTATTTCAGTAATTGCATTCAAAAGGTGTAACTTGTACATTATATTTATTCATTGCACACAGACTGATGCATTCAAATGTTTATTTCATTTAATTTTGATGATTTGAAGTGGCAACAAATGAAAATCCAAAATTCCGTGTGTCACAAAATTAGAATATTGTGTAAGGGTTACATTTTGAAGACACCTGGTGCCACAAAATAATCAGCTGATTAACTCAAAACACCTGCAAAGGGCTTTAAATGGTCTCTCAGTCCAGTTCTGAAGCCTACACAAACATGGGGAAGACTTCAGATTTGACAGCTGTCCAAAAGGCGACCATCGACACATTGCACAAGGAGGGAAAGACACAAAAGGTTATTGCAGAAGAGGCTGGCTGTTCTCAGAGCTCTGTGTCCAAACACATTAATAGAGAGGCAAAGGGAAGGAAAAACTGTGGTCAGAAAAAGTGTACAAGCGATAGGGATCACCGCGCCCTAGTCAAGATTGTGAAAAAAAAACCATTCAAAAATGTGGGGGAGATTCACAAGGAGTGGACAGCTGCTGGAGTCAGGGCTTCAAGATCCACCACCAAGAGACGCTTGAAAGACATGGGTTTCAACTGCCGCATACCTCGTGTCAAGCCACTGTTGACCAAGAAACAGCGCGAAAAGCGTCTCACCTGGGCTAAGGAAAAAAAGAGCTGGACTGCTGCTGAGTGGTCTAAAGTCATGTTTTCTGACGAAAGCAAATTTTGCATTTCCTTTGGAAATCGAGGTCCCAGAGTCTGGAGGAAGACAGGAGAGGCACAGGATCCACGTTGCCTGAAGTCTAGTGTAAAGTTTCCACCATCAGTGATGGTTTGGGGTGCCATGTCATCTGCTGGTGTCGGTCCACTCTGTTTCCTGAGATCCAGGGTCAACGCAGCCGTCTACCAGCAAGTTTTAGAGCACTTCATGCTTCCTGCTGCTGACCTGCTCTATGGAGATGGAGATTTCAGGTTCCAACAGGACTTGGCGCCTGTACACAGCGCAAAATCTACCCGTGCCTGGTTTACGGACCATGGTATTTCTGTTCTAAATTGGCCAGCCAACTCCCCTGACCTTAGCCCCATAGAAAATCTGTGGGGTATTGTGAAAAGGAAGATGCAGAATGCCAGACCCAACAACGCAGAAGAGTTGAAGGCCACTATCAGAGCAACCTGGGCTCTCATAACACCTGAGCAGTGCCAGAAACTCATCGACTCCATGCCACGCCGCATTAATGCAGTAATTGAGGCAAAAGGAGCTCCAACCAAGTATTGAGTATTGTACATGCTCATATTTTTCATTTTCATACTTTTCAGTTGGCCAACATTTCTAAAAAATCCCTTTTTTGTATTAGCCTTAAGTAATATTCTAATTTTGTGACACACGGAATTTTGGATTTTCATTTGTTGCCACTTCAAATCATCAAAATTAAATGAAATAAACATTTGAATGCATCAGTCTGTGTGCAATGAATAAATATAATGTACAAGTTACACCTTTTGAATGCAATTACTGAAATAAATCAAGTTTTTCAAAATATTCTAATTTACTGACTTTTACCTGTATATATATATATATATTTGCGAGAAGAAGAAAAAAACATATGGGGGATTGGAAGTGATGCAGACAATTATATTGATGAAGTTACAATCTTTCTGCAATTTTAAAGCTGATCAACCGCCCCCCCCCCCCCCCCCCCCCAAAAAAAACCATACATGAATAAGTATATTTCAAGCTAGAATGCAACCGTCTACACCTGTTGTTTACGAAGCATGTGACAAATAAAATGTCATTTGATTTAACATGCTTTTCCCACCCAGAAGTGGGAACTGTCGAATTTTCATTCCAATCTATCCCACTCACAATGTAAACACCTTTAGTAAGACTGACATGCATAACTAGCTCCCCAGCTTGCAAGTAATACTGCTTCAGAGTACATTTTCACATTTTAGTCATTTAGCAGACACTCTTTTCCAGAGCGACTTACAGGAGCAATTAGGGTTAAGTGCCTTGCTCAAGGGCACATCGACATATTTTTCACCTAGTCGGCTCGGGGATTCGAACCAGCGATCTTTCGTTTACTGGCACAACGCTCTTAACCACTAAGCTACCTGCCGCCCAGACAGAGTACTCACAAGTCCACCAGATCTCCATCCAACATCAACGTTTAAGAATCAACAAAGCCTCCAAAATGTAGACTCCACACACTCTACTCCTCCCTTTTATAAACAAGTCAGCTATCTTCTATGGAACCCCGCCCAATTGTAACAACTGCACTATATTGAGTTACCTTAATTTGAAGTGATCAAGTGTGGTTACTTCTCAACCGCCGTCAATCGAGTCACCTTATTCTGAAGCGATTGGCTGTGGTCTAACTAATAAAAAGTCCGTGCTCAAATGTTTTCAAAGCGAGAAACTCGGGAAGCAGTGTAGCTTGCTTCAACATAGCCCAATAATGGACTAAAGAAGCACGTTACTCCTTAGAGTCCAATGACCTTACATGTACTGTTTAAAGGCGAATTGGCTCTGGAAGCCAAAACAGCCAAATACTCCAACTAAACGTGAATCGATTCTCAATTGCAGTACAGTTTAATTAACATTAATCCCTCTACTTTCATATCACATCAAAATTATTTCACAAATGCAAAATACACACTTACTGTACAGTTTCATCCGGCTTTATCACATTTGCAGCCGACAGTATTTTTCAGTGACAAAACCTTTGTGGCGTCCATCTTCCGTTTACACACAGATGTTCAGACACCAATAGCGAATGAGCCTAGGTTGTCCACTCGATCTTTCGTCTGTTTTTTCCGTAAACAAGCACTATAACATGGAAATATAAAAGGTGTGTATCAATTTAAAAAAAAAAAAATATTATACGCGATGCGTGTTAATGTTCAGACCGATCATCGGGGCTCTTAAAAAAAACTCCCCTAATTACATGTGTAGTGGAACGGAAAGGAGTCATGATCAAGGGCTAGCTTCAACCGGAAGCTGTACACTCACGTTCAGCTCCCCTACACACTTTTGTCCTATTCTTCAGCCTTAGCAGGCATAGAGATTAATGATGGGAAGTTCGGCTCTTTTCTGAGAGCCGGCTCTTTTGACTCGGCTCCCAAAGAAGAGCCGGCTCTTTCGACTCCCGAACGGCTCTTTATTTAGGATCTTTTGTAGCCTATATTTTACCTTAACTTTGAAAAAAAATCATGGTTTATGTGTTGAAAACCCTTTTGCTTTCAGTGTTTTTATGAGAGACCTTATAATGCCTAATTCTGTGCATTTATTCTGTGACAAAACCACTCTTACATTTGTTTATTTCAATTAAACTTTTTTATTGCACAAATTAACAATAAACTTCAAACAAATCCACAGAACAGAATCAAAACCAGAACCAAACTCCAGCAAACAGCATTAGTCCTCAGGGCAGGTTGGCATTCAGGAAGATCAGATGCCTCAGCTTGGATGGGCTGATAGGCCTGATACGATTTCGCCTCTCCGTGAGTATCTGCCCTGTTTTGGAGAAGATTCTCTCAGAAGGAACTGATGTGGCAACAATACATAGTCTCCCCTCCATCACCTTCACCAGAAGTGGAAAGACTGAGGCCTTGGCCTGCCACCAGCTCAGTGGGTCTTCTGCTCTCTGGATGAGGGGCTCCTCAAGGTAGCTCCTCACCTCCATTATAGCATCAGCTGTCGGATTTCTCCTTGAAGCATCTCCTGTAGCTCTGTCATCAAAAAGCCTCCAAACAGCAGAGGTTTGCTGCTCCTCCTCCACTTGGCCCTGTAATGGTGGAGCTGGCTGGCTGCTGGGGGTGCATTTTGCTGCTGCTGCTGCACTAATCCTCTGAAGAGCTTCATCAACAGCTCTACAATCACTGAAGGCAAGTTTTTTAAACCTTGGATCCAATAAGGTAGTTTCTGAAAGGACAGTGTTGTACTCCATCCGCAGAAATTTGCGGTCCATGGCTGAACAAAGAGCTGCAACTAATTCCTTCACTTTCTGCACAGTTACTGTCCATTGGTTCTCGGCTGTCACCAGCTGCAGACCTTTGCAAAGCAGGAGCATTTTCGAGGCTGTGACATAGCTGAAGGAGAGAAAACAGCAACTTTTAGAATTTAGTTTTTTAAAAGTATGTGGCATATTATACGTGATGCATTATACTGTATGTGTTGTGTTTGCAATGTATAATAGTGACTGAATAGTAGTAGAGAAAACAATGCTTCAATGGTTCTAGGTACCTGTCTGCACTTATCTCCACAGTCACCTCCTGGAATGGTTGCAGGACGGCGCAGACCTCTTTCACCAGCTCCCATTCCTCTTGGCTTAATGGCTCAATAGATGCGTTGATGAGGGCCAGGGTGGAGATGATGGCATCTTTTATTTCAAGCATTCGTTTCAACATATCAAATGTTGAGTTCCACCTGGTGGCACACTCTTGTTTGGGCCTCAGTTCAGGAATCCCCATTTGGCGCTGTGTGGACTTTAGCTTCTGTGCTGCTACTGTGCTTTTGTGGAAAAACTCCACAACAGCCTTCACCTTATCCACGGTTGTTTTGATCACCTTCAGAGCATCTCTAACCACCAGGTTTAGTGTATGCGCCAGACATGGGTGATGGGTCCACTTCAAAACTTTTATGGCTTTGGTGATGTTTGCAGCATTATCACTCACACAGCACACCACTTTGTCCTCTACTTGCCACTCTTTTGCCACTCTTAGTAGCTCCACTGCCAAGTTTTCTGCAGTGTGTCTGTCGGTGAACTCGAAGCAGTCCAGAAGGCAAGATGTCATCTTGTAATCTTCAATAAAGTGGCAAGTGACAGACATGAAAGAGCAGGTTGTTCTGGAGGTCCAGCAGTCAGTTGTCAGGCAAACTGATGGAGCTTTTGTCACCCTTTCTTGCCATAATGCACGTTCTGTGTCATATAGTTTTGGGATCATTGTTTGGGAAAGTGTTTTTCTACTGGGTAGAGTGTATGTGGGATTTAGGGCTTTGACAAAGTTTTTCATTCCTTTGTCCTCCACAATGGAAAAGGGTTGAAAATCAGAAGCTACCATTTTAGCCAACTCATCATCAATACTGTGCTGTTTGGCTGGGGTCATCAGTTTAGGTAAAAACTGACTTATTTTGCTTTGAGTTGCAGTAGGAGAGGTTATACTTGCACGCATGGGGATGGCAGTAGACGTTACAGCAGCTGTTGTTCTGGTATGAGACACACCAGGATCAGTAGATGGTGAGCTGGCTTGCCCTCTCTCCTCTAACTGCACTGTAGGATGGACAGTTCTTGTATGTCTATGCAGGTTTGTGGTGGAACCTGCTCTTATAGTGACCTTCGTTTTGCAGTGAAGGCACTCTGCTTTCTTGTTCCCAATATCTTTAAACTGCAGCCAGATGCTGCTTCGCTTTCTAGTGTCACTCATAGTTAAACGACACGACAATGCAAGACGCACACACGCTCCTCAGTCCGCTCTGTCTCTCTCTTCACTTGCAGTGGAGTCAAGTGGTGTGTCTGCCCCGCCCCCTCTCTGTTTACACATCCTTAATTCTCACGTGAATGCCGCATGCTGGTCGCCATGCTGGCCAATCATAACAGACCTCTGTGAAAGTGAAACCTAAGCAGCGAATGGGCAAAAAACTGGGAGCCGGCTCTCACTCGATGCGAGCCGGCTCTTCTGATTCACTACAAAGAGCCGGCTCTCAGAGCCGATGCTTGTGCGCATGACCCATCACTAATAGAGATGGTGACTCCCGAGTGGCGCAGTGGTCTAGAGATCCTGGTTCGAGTCCAGGCTCTGTCGCAGCCGGCCGCAACCGGGAGACCCATGGGCGGCGCACAATTGGTCCAGCGTCGTCCAAGGTAGGGGAGGGTTTGGCGGTTAGGGATGTGGGTTCGTTTCCCACTGGGGGCCAGTATGAAAAAAAACCCATATGCATTCACTAACTGTAAGTCGCTCTTGATAAGAGCGTCTGCTAAATGACTAAAATGTAAAATGTTGTAGAACATGCAGATGACAGCCCCTCAACAGCCCCTTCTTCTCAACAGTCTCCTTACCCAACTGTCGCACCAACATAGTCAGAAGGTCTCTTTCACAAGCAGCAAGGACTCTCCTTACTGGTTATTCCAACATCTTCCAGTCCCCTTTTCTCACTATCTGGGCAGCAGGCAACCATAGGCCCCATTCGCCTAGGGCTGTCTTAAATTGTGCTGTAATATTATAAGACCTTGACAGGGTGGAGAGATTAGGGTAAAAACTTGATTATAAAACTAAAATGGAGACTGGCATCACGCTTACATTTTTATTAAAAGGACCAACATTAGAATAACTTTACAGAAATGATAAAATAGTTACATGATTCTAATCTTAAATAATTTCACTTACAATTGTTCACAATGGAGTTGAGTGCAGAAGTCAACATTCAACTACTTTTGTTTTTATTGCTTTACAAGGTCGTCAGAGAAGTCACCAATTCACTAGACAGACATTTCAATTTATGTTAATACCCCCCATTCCTTCCCCCCCATAAACACAAATAACTCAAAAAAAGTGATAGACAACATGGAGGGGGGGGGGAAAGGGTAACACTTTATTTGGATAGTCCATCTGTAGATGGTCTACAGACTATCAGTAACATTTCTACTAACTATCTACTAATCTTAATCCTTACCTTAGTCTAAACCTAACCTTAACCTTAGCAAGCTGTTCCTTATCAACCAAGTTTGTTGATAGTATGACCATCTGTAGAGTAGGGATGGGGAAAGAAAATGTTTTTGAAAGGCTTGGTCTAAAATGAAATAACATTATCTATGTGACATTGCTACATAGCCTACATTACATTCAAATGTAATAAAAAGTTGACAGTTAATAGTGCGCCCCATAAAAGACGCACCGGTAGCCAACATGTAGCTTGTTGTTATTGTTGGTCAATCAAAACGGCTACAGTCAGAGGCATTGATTTATAATCAATGCAAAACGGAATTACAATTATGGAATTAAGTTGGCTAAATGAGGAGTCGGCTGCAATGATCAACCATCAGGTAGGCTGTTTAATCTGAATGGAGTTGTTGTAGATAAAGACAGGAAGCGCAGCAAAATAACCTAAATTAGCCTTGCTACTTTACCTAGCTAGCTTCTTTACATCGACTTGATGCAGTCAAAAGACAGGCACTACCAAATGGTATGACAGATAACCTATGGCAGCAACAAGTTTGTCTACTCTCTCTCCCTCCGTGCCACACACACCGGCCACTGCTCCCCTCTCGCCTTCCCCACCGTCTCTCTCTCTCGCGCGATCAAGTCTCCATTGAAGTTTTAAAATATATATTTTTCTCTTTCAAAACATTTATTTTACACTATCCGGATATCCGAAATAATCTGGATATTATTTGAAGAGTGAAATAATTTCAAATGCCTTCCCTGCTGTAGAGCATATGCAGATGGAAAATCCAGACTATCCAAATAAAGTGACTCTGAAAATCTTCAATAAACAAAAACAGCCAAATAACTGTGTCCAGATCGGCTCCAGTCTGGTTCTTTATCGTGACCAGAACATACATCCGATTCTGATCCAAACCCCCCTCTGCAAGTTCTGCATCCGCTCCCCTCTCTTTCCATCTTCCCACCACCATCTTTTGACCTGAGTGTTCAGTTATGCTGTAATCTCTAACCCATTTCAAACGTGTTCCAAATACAAATGGGGAATTCCGGAACCTCCTCAAGAGAACTGGATCTGCTGCACTCCGGGAATCTGGAAAAGGGAAAAGGGGATACCTAGTCAGTTGCACAACTGAATGCATTCAACCAAAATGTTTCTTTCCGCATTTCACCCAACCCCTCAGAGAGGTCAGGGGGGCTGCCTTAATCAACATCCACGTCATCGGCGCCCGGGGAGCAGGCTACCCGCCACCCAGAGACAGAGCAGAACTAACATGTAGAGATCTTTGTTTCTCACTTCTTTATGGTCAGCTGCAAGCCATGGTTACTCTCAGACGTTTATGATACGATATATTCATTATTCATGGATTAACATGTTCCGGGGTGCACAGTTGTGTGTACTTGTGGTGGTGGTGGGGGGGTGAGTCAGATGGCCCCTGTGCACATGGTTGTGTCCCCAGAGAGGTGCGGGACGGGATGCCTGTGCCACTGCAACCAGCGCCCCGACTGATGGTGCAACTCATCACTCTCACGTGTTGTCTTAATGAGTACTTGCAGCGTGGAGAGTAAACTCAGGAGCACCCTTACCTGTTGGTACGAGGTGGTGTAAACCATGACATTCTGTTGTTGTCCATCAGCAGTTATTATTCCAGCAGGCAACTGGTTCGCTGCAAAAGGAAACAGATTTATACTTCAGATTACGCAGTCACAATTTCCATGAAGCAATGGTCTGTCACTCACTGTCACCCACTGTTAGAAATTAATGAAATACATTTTAAACATAGAGTGTACTGTTGGATTCTAGCTTGAAATAAACGTATTAATGTTATCATAACAGAATTTATTCAGTACTTTACATGTATAAGAAATGTATATGTCAAGGGTCAAGGAAAGGGTAAAAAGGAACTTGGTGTGTGAAAGTTACTGAGTGATACGGAAAGTTACTGAGTGAGAAAAGGGAAAGTGCAGAAAGTTCATATTCTGTTCAAATATACAGTGCATTCAGAACCCTTGACTTTTCCCACTTTGTTATGTTACAGCCTGATTCTAAAATGGATTAAATTGTTTCCCCCCCCCTCAATCTACAGCCATACCCCATAACGACAAAGCAAAAACGGACTTTCAGAAATTTTTGCAAATTTATTTAAAAAAATGAAATATCACATTTATTCAGACCCTTTACTCAGTACTTTGTTGAAGCACCTTTGGCAGCGATTACAGCCTCGAGTCTTCTTGGATATGACGCTACAAGCTTGGCACACATGTATTTGGGGAGTTTCTCCCATTCTTTTCTGCAGATCCTCTCAAGCTCTGTCAAGTTGGATGGGGAGCGTCGCTGCGCAGCTATTTTCAGGTCTCTCCAGAGATATTCGATCGGGTTCAAGTCCAGGCTCTGGCTGGGCAACTCAAGGACATTCAGAGACTTGTCCCGAAGCCACTCCTGCGTGGTCTTGGTTGTGTGCTTAGGGTTGTTGTCCTGTTGGAAGGTGAACTGTCGCCCCAGTCTGAGGTCCTGAGCGCTCTGGAGCAGGTTTTCATCAAGGATCTCAATGTACTTTGCTCCGTTCACCTTTCCCTCGATTCTGACTAGTCTCCCAGTCCCTGCCGCTGAAAAACATCCCCACAGCGTGATGCTGCCACCACCATGCTTCACCGTAGGGATGGTGCCAGGTTTCCTCCAGACGTGACGCTTGGCATTCAGGCAAAAGAGTTCAATCTTGGTTTCATCAGACCAGAGACATGTTGGTCTGAGAGTCCTTTATGTGCCTTTTGGAAAACTCCAAGCAGGCTGTCATGAGCCTTTTACTGAGGATTGGCTTCCATCTGGCCACTCTACCATAATGGCCTGATTGGTGAAGTGCTGCAGAGATGGTTGTCCTTCTGGAAGGTTCTCCATCTCCACAGAGGAACTCTGGAGCTCTGTCAGAGTGATCATCGGGATCTTGGTCACCTCCCTGACCAAGGCCCTTCTCCCCGGATTGCTCAGTTTGCCCGGCCAGCCAACTCTAGGAAGAGTCTTGGTGGTTCCAAACTTCTTACATTTAAGAATGATGGAGGCCACTGTGTTCTTGGGGACCTTCAATGCTGCAGAAATGTTTTGGTACCCTTCCCCAGATCTGTGCCTCAACACAATCCAGTATCGGAGCTCTACGGACAATTCCTTCGACCCCATGGGTTGGTTTTTGCTCTGACATGCACTGTCAACTGTGGGACCTTATATAGACAGGTGTGTGCCTTTCCAAATCATGTCCAATCAATTGAATTTACCACAGGTGGACTCCAATCAAGTTGTAGAAACATCTCAAGGATGATCAATGGCAACAGGATGCACCTGAGCTCAATTTCGAGTCTCATAGCAAAGGGTCTGAATACTTATGTAAATAAGGCATCGTTTTAATTTTTTGTATAAATGTGCAAAAAATTTCACATTCCTCACTCTTCCCTTATCCATGGGTATCCAACCTTATCAGTGACCGCAACCAAGTGATTGCCTTTTTCCTCACTCAGTAACTTCCATAACCCTAGTTCTTATCCACACTCCATTGACCCCACCATATACAGTGGGGGAAAAAAGTATTTGATCCCCTGCTGAATTTGTACGTTTGCCCACTGACAAAGACATGATCAGTCTATCAAGTATTTCAAGCTTATTACAACAAAAGTAATAAAATGTGGAAAAGGGGAAGGGGCAGAATCCTTTCCGAATGCACTGTATTATTGTTGAATATGAATGTTCCTAAGGAGGGAGGCAAAGGGCAACAGTCTAGTTTCAGTTCTTGATAAGGCAGGCCAGTTGCTGCGGAACCAGGACCATGAGGGATGTGGAACTCAACTCGAGACAAGATCAACAGTTGAAGAGAGAAGATACTGCTGGAAGGGGGGCCACAGGGGCCCATATCGAAGAACATCTGATTAGTCCTATCGCACACATATATACTCACTTCCACGCCCATGAGGGTCCTAGAGTTAGGCAGGGCCATGACAATACCAGTAAGAGGAACCTACTGTGTTTCTAACAGCAAACACAGCAAAGAAGGATTGGTTCTCTTAGACATGCAAGGAGGTGACTCCGCCTAGTTGGAAGGTATAAAGATGTGTTTGTGTGACTTGTATGTTGTCTTTGCAGCTGTATGACCCAGTGGTTGAATAAACTTGGTTTGAGCTTTTTCCTAGTCGTCCGTGAGTTTTTACTCTGTTTGTTCAGAAGCTAACAATCTTCAGGGGAGGAAATTGCCTGGGCCCAGGGGGGAGAACTGCAGTAAATAAGGCCATCATGGCAGCTAGACCATAAACTAGCTGATGACCCTGTCACATGAATAACAAAGGAATACATTTATGCATACAGCACCTAATCCTTGAGTTTGTAACAGTGTTGGAGGATAACAGCAAATATGAATGATTTCTATTGGGATTGAAACCCCACTTACCGAAGCTGTCGTCTGTGAGTTCTTCTCCGAGTCCCTCTGTTACAGATATGCCGCCGATTCCCTTCTCCCCTTTCATCGCCTATGGGATAGAGAGTGACACACACATTGAGAATTTGTTAGTGTTATGAATTGAGCTGTATTTCCACAGCATCAATGGTGTGATGTCTAAAAAGGGACATAGCAATAACAAGCCCTTTGTGTTTGAGCCAAGGCCCATGGATAGCGAATAGCATAAGAACTCATACACACCAGTCTAGAGTGCACGAGTTATGGCACTTAGCACACACACACTTCCTCTCACCTCTCTGAACTTCTGTAGGTAGAGTTTGAGTGGCTCCACGTACATGTCGAAGCCCAGGGTGGACATGGCAAACAAGATGTCCTCTCCGTTGATGGTCTTCCTTTTCTCTTGGTGACAGCGCTCGCTGGCCTCCGACGTGATGAAGCTGATGAACTCGCTCACACACTCCTGAACACACTCCTTGGCATCTTTCGCTATCTGGACAGAATTAATAGTGGAAGGGGGATCTAGGTCAACATGCAGCCAAAGGTTGATGTGGAAACTACATTTAGGGCCAGTTTCCTGGACACAGATTAAGCCTAGTCCTGAACTAAAAAGCATGGTCATTGGAGAATCTCCAGAAAGTGTGTCTGGGAAATCAAACTCAGTGTTCACATCTGAGGTGTTGTTGATGGATTTGGTAAAAAACAAAAAAAACTGATGGCCCGGTCAACCTGACCTGTGTAATTTATCAGGCATCGAAGCCGTGCTTTGGGTGGGAAAACACTGAACCTTTGAGATATTTACCACCTGGAACTAGGGAGTATAAAGTAGAATCCACAGTAACTGGAAGGGCAAGTATTATCAGTGTAACTAGTTGACGGCCAAGAAATGAACACAGCAATAACAAACCCTTTGTTTGGGCTAAGGCAGAGGAGAAATACATCAACACTGGCGAATATTTAGTCTTGAAAGATACAAATGCAGTGTGTCCTTGGGTGACCTGAAAGGCGCTTCTGTGCTTAACAAAATGGCGCATTTCCATAGAGCATTTACCCCAGTGTTTTACCCAAAAGGCTCAGACTTTTCTGTTTCCATCAGCTGTCATTTACATAACAATGGCTAACTGTGAACTAACGCCTTCTCAAAAAGCAACTGTTTTGATTATGCAGAGGTTGTTGATTCCGTTCTTCACAAGTCCTCACTGTCAGCCCTAGCTTTGGAAACACAATTTCCCTAGTATAACATAAGGGTGTATACACTGGCGTAACAGTCAAAAAGCAGCAACAGTGTACTCAGTCTAAGTGTTTCCTCTACCATTGCATAGGTCAGAGGAGTCCCTATCACTTCAAAATACATAGCCTCAATTTGGTTATGATAGTAATTAGAGATGTTAACGGTTAGCCGCAAAATACATTTGACCGATCATGCTTATCGGTCTATAGGTTAATTAGCATAATTGTGTGGAATTAAAATTTGCACGTGTGTATTTTCGTTAGTTGTCATGCATTTTATTTATGACATGAGCACAGCATACAGCGCCTAGTTTGAGGAGCGGAATAGCCTACCACCTGTCAGACAGCATGAGAGTAGCTCCTCAAAAAGCATGTGGGCTACTGAAGTGAAACCTGCTTTTGTAAGCCCAGTCATTGCGCAACAATTAACAATTCTAAATGCAGTCGGGGGATAAAAACACAATTAAAAAGGAGCTATTTTTATTTCTCAATCTCAACTCGTAATTAAATTGCGCCTTCCATTCGCTATTCGAATGCATAGGCTATAGCCTGCCTACACTTGACTATTAGCGCGTCACCCACCACTTTGCAATGTGAACTTAAGGCAGTGTCATGACTCTCTCCTTGGTGAGGATCAAAGGTGCCAGATCAGAACTCCTTTTGGTCTCTAGTATGGGAAGAAAGAAATCTCTTTGTTACAGAGACTCTTGCCGCCTAAAATTTCTAACGTCAAAAGATTGGAACATTGTCATATTGTTTATTATTTTGTGATGTCATTAAGGATGCTATCAAGAAATAACTAACTCGGAAAGTGTACATATTCTATTTATCAAGTTTACATCTAAATGTTGTATAAAATATATGATAAAATAATTTTGGTGAAGATATGAAAGTGATTTTAGTCTTCTAATGAGATAATAGTTTTTCATATAAACTATTTAGTGAGTAGACACACCCCAAGTGCCATCAGAGATCGTGTCAGCAAGTAGGAACGCCCCTTTACCAAGAGGGCATAAAGACTTGAAAGACAAATTAACATTAGACCAGGAAGCGTGGAGCTGTGGCTACACAGCTTAAAATGGTTAGACTAGAAAGACCAGAAAACGTGAGTGGGTACTGCACGTTTAGAATGGTTAGAACTTTGAATGAGAAAGACCAGCCAGCGTGAAGCATGAGCTCACGTTACAAATGGTTGAACCGCTACAGACCAGCCGACGTGCAGCAGGAGCTGAAAGTTACAAATGGTTGACACTCTACAGACCAGAAAACGTGAGACTGTAGTCCATACGTTTGAAATGGAGAAACTCTAAAACTCTCAATCTCTACAAGAGAAGAAGACCACGCACTAGACCTTATCATATTAGTCTGCAGCTGTACATGTAAAGTTGTCTAGAACTTTCACTAAAGACACGAGTTGGGAATGACAATCCCTCTCAGACAACCGTTGGTACATCTGAAGTATCTATTCTAACGAACACTCCATTCGAAGACAAGCCGAGTCTCACCGAAGTGGAATAGGACACTCAAACCCTTTTTGAGAAAGTGGTTCAACAGAGAGACGACGATCAAGGACAGCTACACGTAAATATGCATTGCATTTATTATCCGAATGAGCGGTGGTTTCCAAATGTAACAATAAGTTGAATCTCTGTCTCTCCCTTTCACTCTCTTTCAATTGACCCCTCCTTCCCCTAACCAGGCAGTCATGCTATTGTTAGTCCAGTCCACTAGGGACCTGTTTTCATTGTATTACGTTAGTAATCAGTAACCTATACTGTGTGTGTGTGTGCATTCTGTGTTATTATTTAGTTAGTAAATAATTAAGCCAATTTGTTTATTGCCGATTCATCAATAAGGTTAGGGTTCTTGCATGTGCAAGGATTACGCGACGTTCAGAATGAGACTGAGGTAATGATTTAATAAGTGACCGTTATCGATATACAGTGGGGAGAACAAGTATTTGATACACTGCCGATTTTGTAGGTTTTCCTACTTACAAAGCATGTAGAGGTCTGTAATTTTTATCATAGGTAAACTTCAACTGTGAAAGACGGAATCTAAAACAAAAATCCAGAAAATCACATTGTATGATTTTTAAGTAATTAATTTGCATTTTATTGCATGACATAAGTATTTGATCACCTACCAACCAGTAAGAATTCCGGTTCTCACAGACCTGTTAGTTTTTCTTTAAGAAGCCCTCCTGTTCTCCACTCATTACCTGTATTAACTGCACCTGTTTGAACTCCTTACCTGTATAAAAGACACCTGTCCACACACTCAATCAAACAGACTCCAACCTCTCCACAAAGGCCAAGACCAGAGAGCTGTGTAAGGACATCAGGGATACAATTGTAGACCTGCACAAGGCTGGGATGGGCTACAGAACAATAGGCAAGCAGCTTGGTGAGAAGGCAACAACTGTTGGTGCAATTATTAGAAAATGGAAGAAGTTCAAGATGATGGTCAATCACCCTCGGTCTGGGGCTACATGCAAGATCTCACCTCGTGGGGCATCAATAATCATGAGGAAGGTGAGGGATCAGCCCAGAACTACACGGCAGGACCTGGTAAATGACCTGAAGAGAGCTGGGACCACAGTCTCAAAGAAAACCATTAGTAACACACTACGCCGTCATGGATTAAAATCCTGCAGCGCACGCAAGGTCCCCCTGCTCAAGCCAGCGCATGTCCAGGCCTGTCTGAAGTTTGCCAATGACCATCTGGATGATCCAGAGGAGGAATGGGAGAAGGTCATGTGGTCTGATGAGACAAAAATATAGCTTTTTGGTCTAAACTCCACTCGCCGTGTTTGGAGGAAGAAGAAGGATGAGTACAACCCGAAGAACACCATCCCAACCGTGAAGCATGGCGGTGGAAACATCATTCTTTGGGGATGCTTTTCTGCAAAGGGGACAGGACGACTGCACCGTATTGAGGGGAGGATGGATGGGGCCCATGTATCGCGAGATCTTGGCCAACAACCTCCTTCCCTCAGTAAGAGCATTGAAGATGGGTCGTGGCTGGCTCTTCCAACATGACAACGACCCGAAACACACAGCCAGGGCAACTAAGGAGTGGCTCCGTAAGAAGCATCTCAAGGTCCTGGAGTGGCCTAGCCAGTCTCCAGACCTGAACCCAATAGAAAATCTTTGGAGGGAGCTGAAAGTCCGTATTGCCCAGCGACAGCCCCGAAACCTGAAGGATCTGGAGAAGGTCTGTATGGAGGAGTGGGCCAAAATCCCTGCTGCAGTGTGTGCAAACCTGGTCAAGACCTACAGGAAACGTATGATCTCTGTAATTGAAAACAAAGGTTTCTGTACCAAATATTAAGTTCTGCTTTTCTGATGTATCAAATACTTATGTCATGCAATAAAATGCAAATTAATTACTTAAAAATCATACAATGTGATTTTCTGGATTTTTGTTTTAGATTCCATCTCTCACAGTTGAAGTGTACCTATGATAATAATTACAGACATCTACATGCTTTGAAAGTAGGAAAACCTGCAAAATCGGCAGTGTATCAAATACTTGTTCTCCCCACTGTATATGCCAAATCTTTCTAACTGTGCTCTTTCACAAAAGCTCTCAACCTATAACCAAATATACTTATTATAGACACAGTATGCTTTACATTAGTTATGTTGTTGTTATTAGTTGTTGTTAGTTGTTATTATTCCCATCCTTCAGCTCCATTCAACACCTCCCATCTATCTCTTATCACCATCCATATTGGATTTCTATTTGCCATATATTTTAACTGTACTGTGATGTTTCAAAAAACCTGCAAAATCACGTCACGTAATTTTACTGTCAGGATTTTTTTTTACCATTTAATGAGGGTCAGTCGGCAGCAAAATTATAAGAAATGTGCATCCCTAATAGTAATTTAGGTGTGTTGGCAGCCCTAGATGATTCTGTGGTTTACGTATCTGGCTTTGTCGCTGTTTCAATCTTGATTTGTGTAGATTTATGGACCTCACAGAATCCAAATACCTGTTAAAAGCAAATAAATAAAAAGCAAAAAACAAGCAAAGCAAATAACTTCTAAGAGTCATGCTCCACACCTTTCCTGTCTGTGGGACGGCGTTCTTCATGATGCGAGCCACGTTAGCGATGGGGAGGTAGATGTCCTGCTCACGGAAGTTTTCCTTGCTGCCGTTGCCTTCCTCATGGTCATGCAGGCTCTCATCACAGTCATCTGTGTCAGGGAGAGGGGCATGTTACATTCCTATTCAACACCACATTTTGGCCTACACAAAACTTCCCTACTTCTATTCACCAAGCAAGGTTAGTCCGAGGTCAAATCTACATGTGACTTGGTCCATGTCAAACCTTGTCATTTAGAATTACTACATTATGTAAGCATCATTATTTGTGAAGCACCTTTGGGCATTTGAAAGGTGGGAGTGCCCATGTCCGTATCTTTATATAGGGGTCCTCTGATTGTGTCCTGTATCATTGGGCACCCATTTTATTCTGAAAAGGGGAATGTGCATGTCAGAGAAGAGGTAGCTGGGTTTCTCAACTCAACGTAGGTAGCTTAGTGGTCAAGAGCGTAGTGCCGGTAACCGAAAGGTCGCTGGTTCTAATCACCGAGCCGACTAGGTGAAAAATCTGTCGATGTGCCCTTGAGCCCTAATTGCTCCTGTAAGTCGCTCTGGATAAGAGCGTCTGCTAAGTGACTAAAAATAAATAAATAAATACTTCTCGGTTGGGTTGTGACGACTGTGGGCGGAGTGTACCTCCGACAACATTGAGTCGTTGTCAGCGATACGAGGAAACAGTCGGTGGTTGTATTTGATTGACGTTTTATTAAAAAGTATAGGATTCCAGCAAACAGAGGACAAAAAAAGGCACACAGCCGACAAACAAAGGAACACGGCAGTGGAGGAAGGCTCATAGTAACGGCATGGAACGGAGTAAAGGGAATGGCATCAAACCATGTTTGATGTATTTGATACCATTCCACTGATTCCGCTCCAGCCATTACCACGAGCTCGTCCTCCCCAATTAAGGTGCCACCAACATCCTGTGGTACATGGTAGGGGTTTAAAAATTTCAATTTTTAGAAGTATAGCCTGACAACGACTCAATGTAGTTGGAGATACAGTCCACATACTCGTCTCCACTAAATTCCATTAATGTGATGTACATGATGGAGTTGACAAACTGCTAGAGAAGAGGGTGCTGCTGATTATGGCGCTTGGTCTGTGAGGAGAGTTCCACCACCTACCATCCTGTGACTGGAGTACATAGTGGCTTCCTGCCATGTACTCCCCTGGCATGCCCAACTGAGAGGCGTCTGTCGTTGAACCGTCTCCATCCATCTGTAAACAAAGACAGAAGTTATAACCCAGTTCCTATTAGGGCATGATTTAAGAAAAACATTAGGGTTGACTGTATGCTAAACTGTTTCTGTTTTAGCTACATTAACTAATCACTGGCTGGATGAACTATCCAAATAGTCAATCGAAAACTGAACACAGGTTGTTGTAGCTGTCTAGCCGAGGCTGTAAATCGGCGTACATGTCATTAGCCATAACTACTGGCCTGAATCTACCATACAAACAGTTGCATAAAAACTACATGCGCATGGATGATTTGTTACTAGCTCAGGCGTGGATGGTCATGAATCGATGAGCAGATTGTTACCCAGTTAGGTTTTACATAGGCATGGCTCTGCTCTGGCTTTTTCTAGCTACCTGCAACATTCCCTTTGTTCCCGCGCTGCCTGACCACTAGCCAGCGGGCAAACAAAATAGCTAACGTTAGCTAGCCAATTGGCTAGTTAGTACTACTAGCTAACATAACTGGCTAAAGTTGTACCCAGAGACGGCTTTGAGGTCGAGGCAAAGACGCGGGGGGAGGACAGTTTGTATTTTCACCTAAGACGAAATAGCTAAAGTAGCTAGTTAGACGAAAACCCGGACACAACTTTAGCTATGCTAACAAGCTACAGTAGTTAGCAGTAGCAATGTGCGCTACCTAATGCTAGCTATTAACCTTATTAGCTAGCTAACTTACACATACAAAGGCAAAGCAAAAAGCCACAATTTATGCCCATTGAATCGATGAGTAACTCACGATTTCGCAAATTCGTCATGTTTACACAAAATTCAAGACATCCCGTCGACCACCAGTCTGACTTATTGAGCACCATACCAAACATAGCCAATTAGCCTGTTACATTTGACAGATACTTAACGTTAACATTTTAGGGCTAAAGTCTTTGTGGAGGGCCTGATGTGTGAGTGAGAGACCATTTACTAGCGGGTCCTAGAATTCCTCAACTCGAAGTCTTAATTTCTACTTTCCCGCCGCTAATTCCCTCTCACGCCACCATCAAATAAAGAGAAACAGTCAAACACGGAGATTTCGATTCGAGGTAAAGAGAAATCGGATAGCAATCATTGGCCAGAGCCAGGCACAAACCTCCGATACAGCCCTGGTTGGTTAGCTTCTCAAAACGGCCGTGTGGTTGGACAGAAAATGGCTGCGAAAGAACCAGTCCCAGCTCGAAGCTCTGCGTCCCAAAGGCACTATCTCACTTTGACGCTAGGGGAGCAATGTTTTCACTGTAGAGTACTGTCTCTACTTGTATGTGAAAGGTAGACTACTCATCAGACAGATGCACCTGCATAACTATTTTATGTTAATCTATATGCAGGAGAGGGGAAATTACCTATTAAATATCAACAAAATGAAATCCTATTTTTCTTTATTAGACAGTTTGGACTCATTCTCAACTCTCCCAAAACGCAATAACACACAACAGTCAAATGGTAAGAAAGTAACACTGCAATATTATTGATTCACATTGTGAAAACTAACCCATGTCTGTAGTTCGAAGGCAAATTATATTCTATAACAGAAATTTTACAAATAATATTTGTATATTACATATTATGTTACAATTAAAATGCTGCCTGCCCACAATATTGAACCAACCGTACATCACCCTCATTTCGTTAACACAGAATTTCTTGACAAAATATCCAAAATGCCTATTGAAGTAACTCAGCTAGTGAGGAAATTCAGCAGAAAAAGCCAAACAGGGGGTTGGACACAGACCCCCTTTGAGAAAGAATCCTGCAATTAAAATAATTCTGCTGCCAGATTTTAGTAGAGCCACCTGCTTCTTCCTAAGGCCTTGCCTTTTCTCAGGCCTTGCTTGAATGCATCCAACCTTACTTTAAAACAATCACAGATCCAATAGGGGTGGATTGGTGAAAGCAGTTGAAATGTCTGCTTTCACCCAGGCAGAATGAAAGGAGAATGGGAGAAGATGAAGCACCCAGGGTGTCAGTCTCCAGTGGGAACCTTCTCCCCTACGAGCCAGAGCAAAAGGAAGGCCAGAGCCAGGAGGGCTGTGCCCAATAGATCCGCCAGGGCAGTGAGGTAGGGGATGGAGTAACTGTCAGGGTCTTTGCCCGTCCGCCACAGACAATGGATCATCCAGTCAGCAATACATAGCAGTGTGAAGACCTAAGAGAAGGGAGAGAGAAAGATTCAGCCCTTTATTATAAACTGAGTGATTCGAGACCTGAATGCTGATTGGCTAACAGTCGTGGTATATCAGACCATATACCACAGGTATGACAAAACATTTATTTTTTACTGCTCTAATTACGTTGGTAACCAGTTTATAATAGCAATAAGGCACCTCAGGGGTTTGTTGCGTCATGCCTAAGAACAGCCTTTAGTCGTGGTATATTGGCCATATACCACACCCCCTCGGCCCTTATTGCTTAATTATAGTATCAGTGTTAATGAAGGAGCAGAGGAGAAAGAATCCACTTATGACTACTAAGACACAGAAATTGACCTAACTGATCTCTCTTGTTTCCTGATTTACCTGTAGGAGGGCTGCAGCTAAGAAGAAGGTGATGAAGACAGGTGTGGGAGAGGTGCTGCCCTTCATCAAGTGGATGGTGTACAGGAAGATCAGGTGACCCGGGACGACCAACAGGAGCAGCACCTGGGCAGAGCGATGATTGGCGCCTGTCAGAGAGGTAGATATGGTTAACTGACAGATACAATACACCTGACAACAGAACATTTCATAACCTTTCGTGTTCACAGGTATGTTAAGGGGACTGGTCATGTGCATGAGCCTGCCTACATGTGTGTGTCATTACCTGAGCCACAGAAGGTCCTACAGGGGTTGTAGCAGCTCCTGCGATCCTCAGGCACCTGCCTTGGTGAGCAGTGGAGGTGCAGATCAGTGGCTATACGACTGGACTGGATGGCAACCAAGTTCCCCCCAATACCTAGATAGAGATGAAGAAGACACAATGATCATACATATGGAGAGATCTTGTGACTTACCATTTTCTTGAAGGTTCCTAAATGTATGCTTCTAAAAACCCAGATCCTTGTCTCACCATTCATAACTGGCGTGTAGACTATCATTCCCACCATGTTCGGGTCTGATACAGTTGTGTCCAAGATGAGTCCTCCGATACTAGAGAAAAAGACAAATTAAAGGATGGTATTTCCATTTCCATTTGAATGCTGTGACTGGACTTCAGGGGCACGGAACAGGGGAGCAGACCTGCTGATGACCATGGCAGTGATGATTGGTTCCCAGCCTGTGTAGAGTAGAATGCGACTTGCTGGGTTTCTGGAGGAGACGACCACCCACAGAGGGGTCAGTCCGAGGAAGAACAGACACACCAGGTACGACACATAGGGATACAACTCTGTGTGGAGACAGGGAGAGGAGCAGACACACACTAGCTAAACAAATACAGTTGAAGATAGCCAGACAGACGAGTCAGACAGAGCTGTCAATGTAGCTATGATGTTCCAGTAAATGGGCTCATACTGCCCCCTAGTGGCCTAAAGCTAAACCTCTCGAAACCTCTCTCTATATACCCCCTCCACTCACCAATGCATTCGTAGAGCCCCTGGCTGAGGCAGGCCAGGATGGCCAGGGTGATGAGGTCACCGAAGCTGGCAGCGATGGGCGTGGCCACGTTGTCTGGGTTGATGCCAATCCTCTTGGAGCCGATGATCACTCCCACCATGATGATCCCTGGGAGAAAACAATACAGTCAAGTCAGATTCAGGCTACTGTTCAGAGTTGCACAGCTCTCCAACCAAGGTGCATGAATTGAGGAGCCAAGAGTTGCACAGATAAAAGCAATGTTGTGACAGCTGGGAGAAGTGTCAGACTGGCGAAAGGGACAAGGGATTGTAATGGCCTTCAGTGGTATTATTCAATTCCCCTTTTATCAAGTGGTAAATGCAAATCGTCAGACTGGCGAAAGGGACAAGGGACTGTAATGGCCTTCAGTGGTATTATTCAATTCCCCTTTTATCAAGTGGTAAATGCAAATCGTCAGACTGGCGAAAGGGACAAGGGACTGTAATGGCCTTCAGTGGTATTATTCAATTCCCCTTTTATCAAGTGGTAAATGCAAATCGTCAGACTGGCGAAAGGGACAAGGGACTGTAATGGCCTTCAGTGGTATTATTCAATTCCCCTTTTATCAAGTGGTAAATGCAAATCGTCAGACTGGCGAAAGGGACAAGGGACTGTAATGGCCTTCAGTGGTATTATTCAATTCCCCTTTTATCAAGTGGTAAATGCAAATCAAGTATCTGTAAACACAGATGGTCAAGTTGAATTTGTTGAAATAGAGCTGATACATATCACCATTCCAAGGCAGAGAAAATAGCATGTTATTCTGTGGACCGATCAGTACCCAGCGTTCCAATAAAAACCACATTAATAATTGATTTGGGTGTCCTAGCTAGATCACAAGCTCTGCCTTACAGAGTCTGGTCTACCTCTCAGATCCCAAGCATTGGTTTTATTTGAGTCATAACAAAATGGTTTTGCAACAAAAAGGTCTCTGATACGGAAGAAACCTACAATGTCAGTTGTAGCTAAGCTTCCTGGTCTCTGATGATTATATTCTGTACGTCTCAAATAGAAAGAGCATTCAGGCTTTTCCAAGAATACAGCAGAAGTGTACAGTATTGCAATTAAATAGGAATAATTATATGTACTGTAAATGGAGAGTAAGGGATAATACTGTATGTAGAAGGAGACACCTCCCACATGAAAAAAATACTATAGTATACTATGGTATATATACTGTAGTATTAATATATTTATATACTATAGTATTCACTGTAGTGTTTTCACAGACTTTACTGTAGTGTTTTTGTATTCATTTGTATTTATTATGGCAGCAGCGACTCTTCCTGGGGTCCAGCAAAATTAAGGCAGTTATACATTTTAAAAACATTACAATACATTTATAACAGATTTCACAACATATTAAGTGTGTGCCCTCAGGCCTCTACTCTACTACCACATATCTATAACACAAAATCCATGTGTATAGTGCGTATGTTATTGTGTGTTTGTACGCATGTGTCTATGTTTGTGTTGCTTCACAGTCCCCGCTGTTCCATAAGGTGTATTTCTATCTTTTTTAAATCTAATTTTACTGCTGGCATGAGTTACTTGATGTGAAATAGAGTTCCATGAAGTCATGGCTCTATGTAGTACTGTGCGCCTCCCATAGTCTGTTCTTGACTTGGGGACTGTGAAGAGACCTCTGGCGGCATGTCTTGTGGGGTATGCATGGGTGTCCGAGCTATGTGCCAGTAGTTCAAACAGACAGCTCGGTGCATTTAACATGTCAATACCTCTCACAAATACAAGTAGTGATGAAGTCAATCTCTACTCCACTTTGAGCCAGGAGAGATTGACAGGCATATTATTAATGTTAGCTCTCTGTGTACATCCAAGGGCCAGCCGTGCTGCCCTGTTCTGAGCCAATTGCAATTTTCCTAAGTCCCTCTTTGTGGCACCTGACCACACAACTGAACAGTAGACCAGGTGTGACAAAACTAGGGCCTGTAGGACCTGCCTTGTTGATAGTGCTGTTAAGAAGGTAGAGCAGCACTTTATTATTATGACTTCTCCCCATCCTAGCTACTGTTGTATCAATATGTTTTGGCCATGACAGTTCACGATCCAGGGTTACTCCAAGCAGTTTAGTCTCCTCAACTTGCTCAATTTCCACATTATTCATTACAATATTTAGTTGAAGTTTAGGGTTTAGTAAATTATTTGTCCCAAATACAATGCTTTTCATTTGAAATATTTAGGACTAACTTATTCCTTGCCACCCATTCTGAAACTAACTGCAGCTGTTTGTTAAGTGTTGCTGTCATTTCAGTCGCTGTGGTAGCTGACGTGTATAGTGTTGAGTCATCCGCATACATAGACACACTGGCTTTACTCAAAGCTAGTGGCATGTCATTAGTAAAGATTGAAAAAAGTAAGGGGCCTAGACAGCTGCCCTGGGGAATTCCTGATTGTTGGAGAGGCTTCCATTAAAGAACATCCTCTGTGTTCTGTTAGACAGGTAACTCTTTATCCACAATATAGCAGGTGGTGTAAAGCCATAACACATACGTTTTTCCAGCAACAGACTATGATCGATAATGTCAAAAGCCGCACTGAAGTCTAACAAAACAGCCCCCACAATCTTTTTATCATCAATTTCTCTCAGTCAATCATCAGTCATTTGTGGAAGTGCTGTGCTTGTTGAATGTCCTTCCCTATAAGCGTGCTGAAAGTCTGTTGTCAATTTGTTTACTGTAAAATAGCATTTTATCTGGTCAAACACCATTTTTTCCCCAAAAGTTTACTAAGGGTTGGTAGGCTATTTGAGCCAGTTAAGTTTTTAAAAACTATTCTTAGGTAGGGGAATAACTTTTACTTCCCTCCAGGCCTGAGGGCACACACTTTCTAGTAGGCTTAAATTGAAGATATGGCACATAGGAGTGGCAATATCGTCCGCTATTATCCTCAGTAATTTTCCATCCAAGTTGCCAGACCCCGGTGGCTTGTCATCGTAGTTTCTTCTTCTTTTAATTCAGTTTAGTCACATGATTTCTCAATTTGCAGTACTTTTTCCAATGACCTATTTGCCATCTCTTTTGCCTCATTCCTCTCAACCATACCATTTTTCAATTCCTCATCAATCCATGGGGATGTAAACGTTTTAACAGTCATTTTCTTAATGGGTGCATGCTTATTAGTAACTTGGATAAGCAATTTCATAAATGTGTCAAGTGCAGCATCTCGTTGCTCGTCATTACACACCACGGACCAACAAATATTCTTCACATCAACAACATATTGTTCATATCTACAAAACGTATTGTATGACCTCTTATACACAATATTAGGCCCAATTTCTGCAGCATTAGTAAAGATATGATCAATACATGTTGATGATTTCATTCCTGTACTGTTTGTAACTACCCTGGTAGGTTGATTGATAACCTGAATCAGGTTGCAGGCAATAGTTAGTTTAAAAATTTCTCCTGAGTGGGCAGCCTGATGAAAGCCAGTCAATATTTCAATCACCCAGAAAGTACACCTCTCTATTGATATCACATATATTATCAAGCAGTTCACACATGTTATCCAGATACTGACTGTTAGTACTTGGTGGTCTATAGCAGCGTCCCACCAAAATGGGCTTTAGGTGAGGCAGGTGAACCTGTAGCCATATTACTTAAACAATATTTAACATGAGATCCTCTCTAAGCTTTACAGGAATGTGGTCCTGAATATAGACCGCAACACTGCCCCCGTTGGCATTTCTGTCTTTTCTGTAAATGTTATAACCTTGTATTGCTACCACTGTATCATCAAAGGTATAATCTAAGTGAGTTTCAGAGATTGTCAGAATATGAATGTCATCTGTTACTAGCAAATTATTGATTTCATTAACCTTGTTTCTTAAGCTACATATGTTAACGTGGACTATTTTTTAACACTTTTCTGGGATGCTTGATTCTTTTTCTTGCTTTACTGGGAAGCTTAGCAGAGGTAGACATACCCAGGTTATTTGTATTAGTGCAAGGGGAGCTGCACACAGTGGACTTCCTACTACTGCACACCACCTCAGTGCTAACAGTATTACTCTTGTTCATAGGCATATGATTACTGCATACAATAGCTGTAGGATCAGCAGAGGCATTCCGGGCAGTAAGAGGGACATAAATTAGGTTATTTACAGTGTGTCTTCCAATGCCCCCTAGGATAATGTACATTCACTGTAGGACGGCAGGTAGCCTGGCCGTCAGGAGCGTTGGGCCAGTAACCGAAAGGTTGCTGGATCTAATCCCTGATCCGACAAGGTAAAATATGTCATTCTGCCCTTGAGAAAGGCAATTAACCCTAATTTCTCCAGGGTCGCCATTAATAATGGCTGATACCCTCGGAGAGTGGGGTCACAGCCAGGGTATCTCAGGGGGAGTGAGATATGCAAAAAAAAATACATTTCCATTTCACACCTCACATCTGTGCCAGTTACCCACTTACACATACAGTGAAACAGGACTATATAAGCATCCCCTAATTATTATGTAGTGTTTTTGCAGACATGACTGTAGTAAATTTACTGTAGTGTTTCTGCGGACATGACTGTAGTATACTGTAGTATTCACTAGTGATTGCCATTAATTACGTATGTTCATTGCTGTTATTGCCCATTATTATTTGCACCTTTGTGTCCTTTTAGATAAACCATACTCCATACAAAGCCAACCAAGTTACAAGACAAGCGTCTCATGTCTACAACTGTCAATAATTCCCTGCCATGTATCATCTCCATTACCTGACTCTATAAATACTTTTATACAGAACTGCATCTCTGCCTCCACCTGCTCTTTAACTGGGGTCCCACAGTAGATGGGCATCACCATAACCCTCACCTAAACCTCAGTGTTTCCGTTGGGGACCCTTATCAGGGGAGGACATGTAGGAAATGTATAAAGCATTTTCAGGTGAGAGCTTTGTACCAGGAAGGTCCTTTGTGTGTATAGGCTGTATGGTGATGCTGGTGGTTTATTTCTGTGAGGAAACACTTTGTGACCATGCTGTCTTGAAGAAATGTTTGGGGTGTGGTCGATTGTTCTGAATGGTATGTGTTGAGTTTCACCATCAGTGAGTTTATTCATGTGTGACAATGTTCAAGATGTTCATTTTGTCAAGCC